GTTAGCGGTCAAGTGCCTTAGGCACTACACAACCAGAGCTCCCTCTCTCACAGCCAGCACACTGAATTCGAACTGCTAGCTCCCTAAACTGTGAGAAAATAAATTTCTGTTTGTTAAAGCCTCCCACATGTGGTATTCCTGTTATAGTAGCCCTAGAGAACTAAACCAGTGTCAGTCCTGTCTGGAAGGAGACAGAAAAGGGTTTATGATTTTGGAAAACAAAGCCTTTTCTACCTGCACATTCAAAACTGTGCCTGAAGAGAATGCTGGCTTTTGTGACTATGAAGTGATGTCTCCTACTATGAATTTAAGCAGCAGCTAGAGTTTTAAGGGAGTTTGCTGTTTGAGAAAACACACAAGCCCAAGGAGGAGAGTGTCATCCTTATTATAAGACAATGTCCAGGCCCAAGTAATGGAACCTATCTCATAGGAAAGTTATGAGAATGAATAGGGTTAAAACTATAAAGTGCTTAGATAAATGACTAGCACGTCGTGTGGCATCAATAAATGTGCAAGTGCAACTGTTACTGTCAATAATGATTAACCTGTTCTATCTCCACCTAAGGTCTGGCATATGTTCTCAATCGGTGAACAATGAATGGACTTCTATGCTAAAATGGACAAGATGTGTGTTTCCTAGGCAGCACCAGCTAGTGAACGAGCACCTTCTTTGTGCCAAGTCTGGCTCAGCAGCAACACCACGTGGCGAAGACCAAAGACACAGGGTTAGGGGAGGGCCTAGGCTCTCTGGCATCTGGAAGCACGACAGCATCTTTAAACTAAGTTCTTAGGTTCTTGAACAATGTGGGGTGGGGTGGAGGTGATCCTCAAGAGATACACATCAGGATTCCTACTAATAAGATTTTGAGGAACCTTGAGTACTTAGAAGTAGTCCCCCGACTTGAAATACAACATATTCAAGTTAGGAAGAACCACACCTATGACTGTCATGTTTTTGTGTGAGTACGTATTAAACCAAAAACCAAACTCCCTGCCATTGAGTTGATTCTGACTCATAGTGACCCCCTTTGGGTTTCTGAGGTGCTAAATCTTTCTGGAAGTAGATTGCCCCATCTTTCTTCCATGGAGCAACTTGGTGGGTTTGAACCACCAACCTTCTGGTTAGCAGTCAAATACCTTAGGCACCGTGCCACCATAGCTCCTTGAGTACATCTTAGTGTTAGTAATATGTACTACATATAATGTTGCAGTGGGTAATTTGCTGATGTTATTATTCTCAGATGTTCGAAGACCAGATTTATAAAAGATACTGATAATAAAAGGCAATAATAATGAAAACTAAAAAAAAGAGGTGTTTGACTTATATCAGAACCAACTTATGACAGACTCCTCAGAATGGAACCTCATTGTAAGCTGATAACTATGACTTAACAGATTTGTAAAAATTAATGAACACATGCTGACGAACTGTGCCAATAGCAGAAACATAAATGGTGGTAAAAATTTGAATGTTTTTGATAGTCTGTTTATTAAATGTCTCTGCAACACAGGCCTTTGGCCCAATTCCTCACCCTGCTCTATTTTGTAACTATTGATAATCCCATTTCACAGAAGAGGAATGGAGACTCAGAGATGCTAAATAGTGACCCAATTTACACAGCCTGAACTTGATCCCATGTGGTTAGCCTAGCTCTGTAGTGTCTCGCAAAATCTCTTCCACCTCAGATTTGCTGAACACAAGGAGTCTGTCTCTTAAAGGGACAGTGTATGTATATTGCATCCCACATGCCTTAATGTGTAGTTTTTCACCCAGAGAAGTCCTCCCCCATGGATGGGACCTGGGTTTCATTCTCTGTCATGTCCTCTGCATCAACCTAATTTTCCAACTCCATGTTCATTATTTTATTTAAACTTGTATCAACTCTGACAATGCAATATAGCTTCCAAAATGGTAGCCTCCATGACCTTGAGACCAAAAGAACTAGATGGTGCCCGGCTACCACTGCTGACTGCTCTGAGAGGGATCACAATAGGAGGTCCTGGATAGAATGGGAGGAAAATGTGGAACAAAACTCAAAATAATAAAAAGACCAGGCTTAATGGTCTGCTAGAGACTGTTGGAACCCCTGAGACTACAGCCCTTAGTTCCCTTCAAGCCTGGAACTGAACTCACCCCTCCATCACTGCTCCCCCCTCCAAGGCTCACCTTTCAGCCAAACGATAGACAGGTCTACAAGGTGGACAAGAGGTAAACACTCCTTAGAACAATCAGTCACTCTAGGTCAAAACAGCAGCATTTGCCCAGAGACAAAATTCAGAAGGCAAGAAGGGATAGGAAAGGATGAGAGGAAATGGGAAACATGGGGAGCAAGTATTACATTGTGGGGATTGCCATCAATGGCATGAAAAATGAATATGAATTGTTGAATGGAAAACTGATTTGCTCTCTAAATTTTCACTCAAGTCACAACAAAAGTTTTTTTTCTTTTAAAAAACCACCTTATAGATTTATCCCAGTAACCCATAAACTATGTATTAAGAATTCCTGCTTTATTTGAGCATTGCCAATCAAACTCATTTTTTTCTAATATTTAACTTTTGGTTAAATAATTCAAATTACGTATTTTTCACATTAGAAATATACTTTTGCTAAATAAAATTTAGCTATATGACAAATGTGTTCTTCCAGAAATTTTACATATTAATGCAATATTAATATATTGTATATATAATTTACTGTAACAATTTAAAAAAAATAGGTGATGGTTGACAAAAATGACCAGAATTACTGGTCAGATAAGAGACTGGTGGAACCCCCGAGACTATGGGCTCAGGTTATCTTTTGGGTCTAGAAATGGACTCATTTGTGTGGATTGGCTCTCAGCCCAACAGTAGAAAGACCTATATACATTACACCTACCCCAGGGAGAGGCTCCTACCTACTCTAGGGAGATGCACTTTTTAGATCAACCAGCCATGAGACATCAGAGGGGCAGCATTCACAGAGAGGGAAAGCTGGACAGACAGGATGCAGAGAGAAGAAGGGCACTAGGAGGGGTAGTCAGAGAGAGGAGAGGGGAGAAGAGTTTTTTATGGTGGGGGATGGTAACTGGGGCTGGGAAATCAAATGTGCATGAACTGTCAAATGTGAAACAAATCTACTTTGCAAATTCGCACCCAAAGCACAACAAAATTAAATAATTTGAAAACCAAAATATGTTGGTGAACAACAACAAAACGAGGTGATGGCTGAAATCCTTAGAAAGTGCAAACAGACGTGAATGAACTGGCTTCCATCCATCAGTGCAGCTCATCTGCCCGATGCCCTGCCAAGAGGTGTCTGCTCCTTGTAGCTTTCAGTACCTGCATCCAGCATTTCTTTATGCATGCATTTCCAAGCAGATACAAATATTGATTCTATTCCTCCCCTTTCTACACAAGAGGGCATATTGTACACATTGCTCTGAATTTTGCTTTTTTAATTTTCCTTTTTCACACCAATAATGCATTTTCCTTAAGACCTTTACCCTGGCTGCTCCCACTGCTAAAAACACCCTCTTCCTCCCACAATCACATGGAACACTCATTTTCCTCCTCCGAAGCATTCACTCAGCCCTCACTTGTCAGTCACACCTCCGCTAACCACCTGTCATGGACTGAATTGTGTCATCCCCAAATATGTTATTGTAAATCCTAGCCTCTGTGCCTGCGGTAATCCCAGTTGGGAATGTGTTGTCTTTGTCATGTGAATGAGGCGGGATTAGTGTGCTGTGTGTCTGAAGTCCATCGCTTTTAAGACGTAACAGAAGCTGAAGAGATGAGGACCTTCCTCTAGAGCTGACAGGGAAAGAAGACCGAAAACCCAAAACCAAAACCAAACTCACTGCCATTGAGTCGATTACCACTCACAGTGACCCCCATTGGGTTTCCCAGGCGGTAAATCTTTATGAAAGTAGATTGCCTATCTTCCTTCCGTGGAGCAGCTGGTGGGTTTGAACCGCCAAACTTCTGGTTAGCAGTCAAATGCCTTAGGCACTGCACCACCAGAGCACCTTTGCCCTAGAGCCAGTGCTCTGAATTCAGATTTGTAGCCTCCTAAACTGTGAGAAAATAAATTTGTGTTTGTTAAAGACAATCACTTATATTTCTGTTATAGCAGCACTTGCTACCTAAGACACTACCCTATTTTAAATCTTATTCTCACACTACCAATCCTCCTTAAGTCACTCTAGTTTTTTTATATAGCATTTATCACCTTTTAACATCCCATGTAGTGTACTTCTTTATTGTCTCTGGTGTTAATTTTCAGTCCATGTCCACTAGAATGTCCACAGAGGTGGAAGGCACTGTCTGCCTCGTTCACTCTTGATTTCTAAGTGCCCAGCAAGTGTTTACTGAACAAATGATATCTAGAGTCCATCTTAACCTCCATTTAAAATTTGTTAACTCTTTTGCTTACTAGATCCTTCCAGGCAAAAGCAGAATGTATTAAGCTTTTCTCTTTGCAAACATCAGCTTTGGATCTGGCATTAGAGTTAGCAAGAGCAAGAAGTAAAATAGCAGATGAAGCCTTGGTAAGTAAGAAGGAGTCGATGAGTGTGGAAAATGCCAATGAGAGCAAAAATACTGACTTTGGCCAGCCCAAGGAGAGAAGCACCTGGACACGCCTGCTCGGCTAGCTGCCTTGTACCTGATCTGTGCACCAGTACCAGAGGGAGGGGATGGACATTCCAAACAGGATCCCAGGCCACGGGAGATCAGAGGTAACTGGGTCTCGGAAAATATGGAAGGCGTCTTCTCGGGGCAGCCCACAGCTGCTGTTCTCAGTCCGGTTGCTAGCCAGGGCCAAGAAGTACTTCTCCTTCAAGCCTTCCAGCCCACCAACTGCAGCAAAACCTAGAATTCAGAGGAAGCCCAAGTTTGCCGGAAACTCTGATCCATTCACAGCAAGTGATGAGGACCACAGTGAAGACTTAGAGCAGAATTTCCAAGGAAAGTTGTTCTTCATAAGGGTTCTTGACCTCTCCTCCCCTTTTTAAAATGCAGTGTCTATAGATGGCTTCTCAGAATATTAACTTTAAGTGCATAATATAAAATACATAGGATTGTAAAAGAAACCAAGGATACTGAATACAGCCATCAAAATAGTAAAAATGTGATCATTTATTTGCTCCATTAAATAGTAAGAACTAGGT